ACACACACACACACACACACACACACACACACACACACACACACACACACACACGCTTCCATACAGATGAAAAGCTAGTGGAGGTGCACAGATGTGGCTGACAGTTGAAAATGTCACCTTGTACTGAAGATAAAGACCTTGGCTATGCTCTGCTTTTGTGTGTACTCACCTCCTCCAGTATCCTCTGGTGCAGAAAATGATGTAAAAATCAGCTTTAAGCAATACCAAGCACCAGGATTTAGTGAAGAAGCAGATAGTATTGCTGTTTGGGGGAAATGGTGAAAAATGATCACCATCTGAACTGTGGAGTTCTAGCTGTGACCTTGAATGAACCATGAGGTCAGATGTTCACTCTTGCTGACTAAAACATACCTTCCCAATTTTATTGCCGTTCCAAAGTGAGGAGTCGCTATTAATCTCTTTCAACAAAAGCCTGGAGGTTTGAAAGGTTTCATCACCTTTTCAATCTTATATCATTGCTCTCTTTCATGCTCATGTGTTACAGCAGTTTTACTTCGTGTCTTTTGAGTTGTAAATCTGCAAAATCTGGGCCGAGTCTGTAACTCCGTGGTAGAGCGCTTAACCTAGAATGCATTCAGAAAGTTAGAGAACCAACTAAATAAGCAATAAGTAAACTAAGTGTATACTAAATAGTAAAATCAAATTTTATTTATATATTGCTCAAGTCTTTGACATGTCTAGCCGCAGCTGAATTCTTCTGAAAGAAACATAGATGATGTAGAAAGTAACGTTTGTGAACTTGAAGTCATGAAAGACGCATACATCCAAGAATGTACTGGTGCCCAGTTATAGTGGTGTACACCTGTAATCCTAGGATTCTGGGTGATACAGGAGGATTGTAGATGCAGGACAAGCATAAAAAACAAACAAGCAAAGTCAAATAAACAAACAAGTACACACAAAAACATACTTGGGTGTTAAATGTTAATAGCTCCCCCAATTCACATAGTCCCCAGGTTAGCTATGTCTGGAGAGGGGGCCCTAAGGAAGGAAACAGGTTAAATAAGTTCGTAAGGCTGGAACTTGATCCTATAAGAACAGTATCCTATATGAAGAGATGCCGGGGACCTTCTCTCCCTGTTCTTTTCTTTCCCTTCTCCACTTGCAGACTCAGCAAAAGGACCTCATTAGAATGGAGCCACATGGACTAGGAAGATGGCTCCATGGTTAAGAGCACTGACTGTTCTTCCAGAGGACCTGGGTTTGGTTCTCAGTATCCACGGGATGTTTCACAATAGGCTGTGAGTCAGTTCCAGGGGATCTGACACTGTCTTCTGAGCTCCATATGAACCAGGTATCCACAAGGTGCATTTACATGTAGGCAAACACTCAAAGATATAAAAACAAATTTTAAAAGTTGCTAAGAAAGAAAGAAAGAAAGAAAGAAAGAAAGAAAGAAAGAAAGAAAGGAAGGAAG